TGGCCCAGTGGCATAGTGGTTAGGTTCGTACATTCCACTTCAGCAGCCTGGGGTTCGCGAGTTTGGATCCCGGGCACGGACCTACACACCGCTCACCAAGCCCAGCTGTGGCAGTGTCCCACATACGAAGTAGAGGAAGACTGGCAGAGATGTTAGCTCAGGGCCAATCTTCCTCAGCAAAAAAAAAAAGATATGATAATGTGTCCAGAGACTCTTAAAGTAAGTGTAGGTCGACATAGATGGAGGAGTTTAAGTGCCAAATTCTGATGGTACCATCACACATGACCACAGAAAGAAAATGAAGAATCAGCTAAAAAGTAAACGTGACTACATAAGGATCCCAGAGCTTCAAAACTGGAAAGTCTATCACAAAAGAATGGCAGGAAACTGTAGTAATTGTCAGAAAGTCTTAGTCATAGAGTGATCAGGTGTTTGTTTAAAAAGGAAAAATAAAAATAGCTTCTCAGCAAAATAATGTGTAAGAAGAGGAAAATTTCTATCTGTGGCAAATAAAATTAGTAAATAACTAAGACAAAGCAGAACTGTTTGCAGTTTCCTCTACTTTCAATTTCTCCAAAGAGAATGATCTGCAGACAATATCCAGAAGGGTCAGCTTCCATGTGATGAAACAGACAGGTGCTTAATACACTGAAATTTTGAACTGACGTGTGGTCTAGAATATGGGACGAGTCAGTGAGAGATCACTGACCTTCTGTAGATGAGCTGACATTTCTAGTTCCAGACAAATTGTAGTCCTAACTACTAGAAGAATTACAGATGTGATTACTAAGAAACATCAAGGGTCTGGCCCGGTGGTGTAGTGGTTAGGTTTCTGCATTCTGCTTTAGCGGCCCAGGGTTCACCAGTTCGGATCTTGGGTGCAGCGGACCAACTCACCACTCATCAAGCCATGCTAAGGCGTCATTCTACATAGAGAAACTAGAAGGACCTACAACTAGGATATGCAACTATGTACTGGGGCTTTGGGGAGAAAAAAGAAAAAGAGGAAGATTGGCAACAGATGTTAGCTCAAGGCCAATCTTCCTCAAAAAAAAAAAAGAAAAATCAAGAAGGGGTTGGTTAGTCAGTTAACAAATAGCTGAAAGAAATAAAAACACAAGGGTGAGGAAGACAGACAGAGTTCATGCACTCTTAGAATTTTCATTCTACTGGGCTAAGAAACATATAAACAAATAAGATTATCTTGGGCACTTAGAAGTGAAAAACCAGAGTAATGTGATAGAGAAATGACTGATGGGGGGTCGTTTTAGCTAGGATAGTTAGGGAAGGCCTTTGACAAAATGACACTTAAAGTGAGACTTGAATGATGGAAAGGAGGTAGTTTTGTGACTCTATGAGAGTGTTCCAAACTGCAGAAGCAGCAAGTTCAAAGGTCCTGAGGTTAGAATAAGCTTGGAGGATTTCAGGAACAGAAAGAAGGCTAGAGGGCTGAAGTGATAAGCCCAGGGTACTAGGTTAGCTGGGGAAAGAAAGGGGATGAGGGGGAGACTGATGGGCTGAGATAACACGGTGAGAAGCGCAGACAAGCAACTACCAGTCTTGCCGGAGTGAAGAGCTGGTGTTTTAGACATCAATATGCAAGTAACCTGGCAGGGTTAACGGTTGTGGTCATATAGCGAGATGATAGTTTTTCATGCAGGTTTCCTGTAGAGGAATAAGACGCTTTTGACAATGGCTAGTTGTGTGCCAGCCTAGGAAGTTCATCCTTAAGTCTTTCAGAGGCAGAAGAAGGCAGGAAAATTGCTTGTTAAATTACCCCTGAAAGTCAAAGTCTTTATTCCTTAGAACTGTTGAAGTTGAATTGTTATTAGTGCATATGGGACTCAATCTGATCAGCTTAGCATCTCCTGTTTTTAATTTTCATTTGGGATTTTTAAATACCTCTCCGTGGAAGGGCAAAACATACTTGTCTTTTTTCCATGAATATAATTAAAAGAGACAGGCTTGAGAAGACCTACAGATGGGGCACAGTGGGCCTTGCCAAAGTATGGGATCAGGAGATGAAGTCAATTCCATCAACTGTAGCAATTGACGGCTCCAGCAGAGTAAGGCTTACAATTAGAAGTTCTCAAAAGCTTGCTGGGCCACTGGAGAGATTGCAAAACAGAATCAAAGTTATTAGCACACATTCAAGCGAAGGCTTGTTTGAAGTCAGGCAATTGCTAGCTTCTTATGGATAGGCCAGGCCCTCTTGACAGTTCTGTTATGTTTAGTGTTCCATGAAACTGCACCACGGCCTTTGATATCATAGCCATTTCCTTAATTATAAGCACATATTTCTTCTCTATTGCAGGGTTTCTCCTGCCTTCACAGATCTGTCAGTGAATGAGGAAACTTGGATACCACATATGGAAATGCGGTATATGAACCTGGATTAACCAGCATGTAAAGGGTGTTGTTCCCTCAAGGAACTGTTGGATTCATTTAGGTAATCATCTTTTGATGAATGTACTCTTGCTAGTATAATCTTCTGCTTATCACACAGTTATAAATCAGAACTGGAAAAGACATCTGGACACGTCTAGTGCCTTCTGAAGCAATAACATTGCAGTATATTTTATGACATACTACATAGACTCTTACAATCATTTTGGGTCTTACACATTAAAGGTTCTCAAGAGGAGGTACTGGTTTGATTTTTTTATATTTTATTTCCCCAAAGAGAGCAATCAAATAACTTACAAACAAAAGTATAGAGTGTGATTCCAAATTGTACAAGTAAACAATGACACCCTCTGAAAACTGCATGTGTTTATAGCTGTGGAGGAATATTCCACTAGGCTGTAACAGGGGTTACCATGAGAACGATGAGAAAGTAAAGGAGAGAGTGTGGGAGGAGATAAAAATAGTACTAGCAAAACGCAAAAATACTCCTGCCATAATGCTAAGGGAAAAGGTAGAATGCATGTTTTTAGTAATAATTTTTAAAAAGAAACGTTGACCTTTATCGAGGTCTTACTGATTGATGTCGGGTGTGGTTCTCAAGGCTTTCCACAGACTATCTCACTTTATGACCGCACCAACCCTGCGAGGTAGGGATTATTAGTTCCCTCCTTTCACAGATGAGGAAACCGTGGCCCAGAGAAGCTAACGAATTGACCCATGCTGACACAGTAAGTAGTAAAGCTAAAAAAATAATAATAGGCAAAAAAAAATAAAATTGCATTTTTTTCTAGAAATCAACCTAGTCAATGCAAATAATTTAATTAGGTGATAGAACTGTGACTGACGTTGTTTTAAATTTTTGCTATTATTTAATATTACTTTGAGATAAAGTAAAATTATTAAAAATAAATTGAATAAAATGGGTGGTATAGTGGTTTTTAAAACATGTCCTCAAATCCTTTGACATGCCTCTCACTGAGAGGAGATTTCTTTTGTTTCTTCTCTTTGGATCCGGGTGGGGCTTATGAGGGCTCTGACCAATCACACAGCAGAAGCAATATGGTGTGTCTTGGGAGGCAAGGTCAAAAAGGTGACACACCTTCCTCCTGGCTCCCTTTTTGGGAAGCTCACTCTGGAGGATGCCAGTCACCATGCTGTGAGTCCCATATGCAGAGGAACAAAGGCCCCAGCCCATAAGCAGCATTGACTGCCAGACTTCAGGTGGTTCCAGCCCCTAGCCTTAGAATCTTCCAGCGGAGGCCCCAGACATGGCCCAACAGAGACAAACTGCACCAGCTACGTCTGTCCAGATGTCTGACTCCCAGAATCTTCTATGAACATAATTAATGTTTAAGTTTTTTTGTTTGCTGTTGTAACTGTTTGGTTTGTTTGTTTTCTTTTCTTTTTTTATTTTTTTTGGTCCTAAACTACACAACAACAGATAGCTGGAATAGATGAGCACCTTCCGCCGTGATGTTTGTCAATTTGAAGTAGGTTTCCCCTTCATCTTATTTTTCTGCTCCCTTTAGGCATATTTTTTGTGTGTGTGTGAGGATGATCAGCCCTGAGCTAACATCCAATGCCAATCCACCTCTTTTTTTTGCTGAGGAAGATTGGCCTTGAGCTAACATCCATGCCCATCTTCCTCCACTTCATATGGGACGCCGCCACAGCATGGCTTGACAAGCAGCGCGTCAGTGCGCGCCCGGGATCCAAACCTGCGAACCCGGGGCCGCTGAAGAGGAGCGCACGCACTTAACCGCTTGTGCCACCGGGCCAGACCCTCTTTAGGCATATCGTGATGGTTAATTTTATGTGCCAATGTGGCTGGGCCACGGTGCTCAAATATTTGGTCAACCATTTGGTTTAACATTTAAATTGGGGGGACTTTGAGTAAAGCAGATTACTCTCGATAATGTGGTTTTCCTCATCCAATAAATTGGAGACCTTAATAGAACAAAGACTGACCTCCTCTGAGCAAAAAGAAATCCTACTAGCTGACTGCATTTGGATTGAACTGCAACTCTCTCCTGAGTCTCCAGCTTGCCAATCAGATTTGGACTCGCCAAGCCTCCACCATCTTGTGAGCCGATTTCTTAAAATAAATTTCTTTCTCTCTCTCCCCCTCTCTCTGTCTCATTGGCCTGTTTCTATGGAGAACCCTGACTAATGCACATACTGTATCTTTAACGCTGCTTCCCAAACGCCTCACTAGTTCCGCCAGTATCCTAACCTCACTGCAGCATCCAAGTCAATCCCCTCTGTTTGACTTCAGATGTATTTGATGTATTTAAAGAGGGCTAGAGAAGAGACTAATGCTGGCTGCAGGGTCACTCTTATAAATTTCTTCCTCTTCTTCCCACTTTAGGATGTAAATCATAAGCAATATACATCCATTGTCAATAAATGAGCAGCACATATACAGGATGACAACACTGAGGGTAGAAAAATCTAAGCAGATAAAGGCCCAGGAAGTAGATCAACTGTGGCTTTTGGAATGAAATGGCATCACAGAATTACATATGCCACTAAGAATGCCCAAGTGACAAAATGATCGGATTCAGGCAAAGCAAAAAGGAAAAGGTGCAGCTTACCCCTCGAAGCAGTGGGCGACCGTCAGAACCCATTTCTTGGCAATGAGGACACAGCCACAAATGTGTCCACTAGGCTCACTCTGCAGGGAACACTGCCATGGCCACCTTCCAGGGCGACTCGTCCGACCCCCGAGGATCCTCTTGTTCATTCGGGCGGCAGGGCGGCGCCCACAATCTGCCAAGGAGCAGGAAAGACAGTGTATGACTTACCTCCAAATCCCCCAGCTGGATGCTTGGATCTTTGCTGTCATGTACAGTGATTATTTTCCCCCTGAGCCAATCTGGTTACACGAAGTTTGTACCCCATTGCTCCACCTCTCATTCTCTCACCTTGTTTAGTACACAGAAGAGAAATCTTACTTCTGCTGTGACAAGACTGCCTAGATTTGGAAACATAAAATGGCATAACATTAAGCTACATATTTATCGTTCACTTCAAACACTTTACCAGTGAAAAGCAATACATAGATTCAACTGTTACCAGAGGCTGTATTCGTTGAGCAATGATTATACTGAGTGCAGGAATTGTCAAGGCAGAGCTGTGGTCAGATATCACCTCAGGGGTGGGGGGATACGAAGGATGTGTACTTTTTTTTTTAGTTTATTTAATATCAATATAACATAATTTCACATCTGTGGGAAGAGAAATTACTGTTATCAAAGTTTCCCACATCATCTTGGCTGGTGGTACTACCCAGAATATTGGTTCAAATCATGACTCTCAAGGTAGAGAGAGGAAAGGGGAGGGAACTGGGTTGCTTCTTAGAATCTGTGGTGAGGAGGGAGCATGTCAGATTGTTATGCTTATGGAGACAGCGTGTATGTCCAAAAGAAGTTGAGAAATAGTTTGAGAGAAATAAAATATTACTTCAAAAAGTCAGAGAACAGATAAAGGAACTGAATATTTAGACTGGAAAAGAATCTTGCCAAGACTTTTGATGTTAAACGGTGGATCTATGATTAGCTGACGGGGGGCGTTAAATTTATTCCATGAAACTCTAGATGGCAGGATCAGAACTAGTAGGTAGAACTTACAGGAAGCGTGGGTTCACAAAGGCAGAAATTTCTGAAAATCTGAGTTAACCTTTGAAGGTAAGAACTCGGGCCATGTTTAATCATCTATCAATGTAGCTGTACAAGAGAATTCAGTTTAGGATACATTAAGTTTTACTTGCAAATTTATCTTCCAACCATGAAGCATTTATTTATAGTATAAATTTAAAAGACAAAAAACACTTTGAGACTGTCAAAAATATTGTCGTGTGCTTAGAAAGCTAGATCTCTAAAGAAAAAAAAAAAATTCCATCCCTAAATATGATATGTCATTTCCACATTCCTTTTTGAATATTTACTGTATTTTTATTTCTTGCTAAAATTGCATGGGGATATGTTTAATTATTTGTATACAATAAATTATACAAAACAGAAAAAAGTTTGCTTTTTGCCTTCCCACAACCTGAAGTCATATCTCCTCCTTACACTACTTCTTTATCCTTGATTTCTTTGTAGCACTTCCAAATGTCTGAAATTCATTTTGTTTACTAGCTTATGGTCTCTCTGTCTATACAAATATGTTCCTTGAGACCAGGGCCCTTGTCCCCTCATTCGCTTCTACAGCCCCTCAGAGATTAGCACTGAACCTGGCATAGAAGAGAGACTCAATAATTAGTTATTTGTTAGATCCCAAAATCATAGCTTGCAGGAACGGGAAAAGACACCAAAGAACATCTGTCCCAGCTCTTTATCTCACAGGAAAACTCTGGTTATATAAGATCACATATCTAGTTAGTAAGCCAGGACTAGAACCAGTTCTACCAATGCCCAATTTAGAATGAGTTATTTAATTTATTTATTTGACCTGAAAGGGCTTTTCTGGCATTCCCCGTTTGGGGAAACAAATCACTCTGTTGAAAGGTTCAGGTCATTGTTTTGGAGGAAGTACTTCAGTTGACAAATTTTCAGAAATTTGGCTGTAGAGTTTGGTCTATGGGGAAAATGTCAAGACATTCCACAGGGAAATAGCCCACCTTTAGTTTTCTTCTTTGGAATTCTTAAGAGGTGCTTTCTCTAGCACTTATTAAAAGCTTTGGAGTCAGATAAACTTGGTTTCAGTTGAAAGGCTATCACTTACCATCTGTAGGCTATGAGTTTTGAGCAAGTTATTTAAATATTCTATAGCTGTGTCCCTATAACGTAATAAGCACTAAGTAAGGGTTAATAATTCCCTCAATTTATCTTTCTCCTGCACCCCTACCCTTAGACAAAGGAGGCAGCCCTGTTTAAGATGCTGTGATTCTTTAGGGGAAATTTTCAGAAGTGTACTTTCAAGACGACTTGATTATAATTTCATTTTGTGTCCATTTTTTTCTCAGACTCTCAAGTTTTATCAGTCGCCATTACTTCAATTCCCTGTGTTAACTAGCTCCACATAGCATCTGCAGCAAGTGCAGACATGAGAATTTATTTCAAATAGGATATGAAAAAACTCCAAGATTAGAACCCAGTTCCTCCTCCTTCACTATGATAATTTCTGTAATCATCATTGAAGAAAACATAATTAGCCAAGAGAAAAAAACAAATCTGTCTAGAAAGAAGAAATAAAAGTAAACAATGTTAAACATAAAGGCCAATAGCCATTCTATGGAAGCTCTTTATTGATGTGACAAATTTGGTTTATTTTAAATTAGAAACAGAAGGGCCCTGATGATAAACTTTGCTCCATAATCTCCCCTACACAGCTCCCGCGAAGGGTGTCTTACCCTTTGACCAGTAGTTCGTGCAAAGTGGTCCCATTGAGACTCTCCCAGTTGGAGTGTAACGTCAGCCACTGCTGGTCTTGCTCCTGCTCTTCTATCAATTCGGTCACAGATGGCTCTCTGACAGAAGGGCAAATACCAGATAAACATTCAAAGTACAATGACCTTCGACCAGGCGATATCATTATTTAGCACTCACTCTCTTTCAAAAAGAAACATTACATCATAAGTCGATATGTCAAGACGGGGATTTGTATCAGAAATTTGGCATGGAATGTGGTCAGGAAGAGGGAAAGTTACTAAAAGTATCCTGAAGCAATAAAGATCCAAATTTTTACAGCTGTTTTAGACATTCTCTCTGCTGACACATATTTGAACTTCATATGGTGCTAGAATTCTAACGTATATGATGTAAAATTAACAGTATCTAAAAAACAAGAGCAACTTTAGCACGGATCAAAAGTAAAATAAAATTTATCTAGCTTGGGTTTTTCTTCCTCTTTTCTTGACCACTGTAATCCTGCAATATAGCAATACCTTAAAATAAAGTCAACAATAACGAGAATCAATGGCCATTTAGTGTCTGTGTAGACAGTATAAAACTGAAAGTGGAATTTTTTCAACAACCTGCAAAATCTTTATGCACTAAAAATTAAGGACTCTGGAAAATAGAGATGGGAGTTAGACAACATTATTTTGCTCTTTACCTATATTCTCACTCAACCTTCACCAATATTTCCTGTGTATGTCTCATTTAATTGTTCAAATGAATATGGTTACACTGTATCCAAGATTTAAAACCTTAGATTTCAAAAGTATTTTGATTTTTATGTAAAATATCCTATTCTTCATGAAATAAGTTGGTTTATTTAGACAATCTATGTTCGAATAAAATCTTCTGGATTTTTGTCACCTGATGCTATCATGGGTAGAAGAGGTAGAGGAATTAGTTTTAGATAGGAGGAAGGAGAACTTTTTCTGAAACTGGAAGGAAGTAGGAGAAAAGGAAGCAGACACTTTGTTGGAGTTGGAGGGGGGAAAGAATTCATCAAGAGACAGATAGTCTCCTCTTTTCTTTAAAAGTAGGAGGTGAGCTCCTCTGATGAAAGCTGGGGAGTGGCAGGGGTGCATGACGGCAAGGGAAGTGACGTTATATGGAATTGTTCCCTGGTGGAAGTGTTTGGAGAAACACATCAAAGACAACTTAGAAGAATGGCAAGCAGCGGTGAAAGTTCCAATGAACCTGGAAATCTTGAAGTTGTGGTAGCATCAAGTCTGCATGCTTAGTGACTTTCTTTTTCAATAACGGGATGCCATTTTTTTTTTGCAAAAAAGTGGGGGGCACAGGAAGGGAAGAAAAGTTAGATTCAGTGGCATTGAAAGAAAAATGATCATTTTACCTGATTATTAATTATTTAAAATCTACTGTAATCACATAACAGAGAATAAAAGAAACAAAAACCTCCCCCAATCCTGTTGCTTTTAAAAAGAGAAAAACCCTCTAAAGAGAACACTTGATAGAATAACAGCCAAAGATTAAAAATAAAACAGAGTCCTTAATAATGAGTGAATTCTAATCCTTTGATCTTAAAACAAATGGCATAAACCCTGACTGCACTTTAAGAAGAGTTGCAAAAGATTTAAATTTATTTAGAAACTTGAATGACCTGTTAGATTACTGAAGACTTGACAAAACCTACTGCAAAATGAGAATTTTTCTTTTCCTCGACCAAAATGATAGTCTGGCTTTTCTATCAATCCCACAAGTGCTGTATGTGGAGGCACAGCGGGATGGAAAGTATAAAAGTCAGCAGCCACACATATCACTCGTGGTGTTTCTCTTGATACCTGCGTCTTGAAAATTACTTGCTGCAATAGAATCGCCTGTGGTCTCCTAAATCCAGGCATTTTACCGGCAAAAAGCCAAAGGAAGATCAGCTTCAGATTTCTTGTTTAATGAAATCATTCTTTAGGCAGATATTCATAGGGCAACAGGGGACTTGCATGAGGAGGACACTTCAGCGTAGGATTTGTACTGATGCTGGATAGAAAGATCATTGCAAAGGACACTGCAATCTTTCAACCAACAAGGGCCCTTCAATTACCTCCAGGAAGGGCTCCACTGAGCATAGCACATGGGACATTTCTGGATTTCATTCATTAGCCTCCAACAAGAAAGGCAATCTAGCCTGAATCTCTGTTACATCAAGTGGAAAATCTAAGAAATTCATCATCAAGAAGAGGGGAGCATCACTACAAAAATTAGTTTTCTGTGAAATTCTTAAACACTAGCATGCTTCTCATGCACAAAAACAAATCCTTCAGCACTAGAAGCGTCACCCTATGGTCCTTTAAAAAAATATCAGTGACTCCATGTGGTTCTATTTCTGCCATTATACAGAACCTGAGCATCTGTGTGATCTCAAGTTTTCTTATCTTTTCTTTAAATAATTTTTAAAATTGTAAAAGTAGGGGCCAGCCCCATGGCGTAGCAGTTAAGTGCATGCGCTCCACTGCTGGTGGCCCAGGTTCGGATCCCGGGCACGCACTGATGCACCGCTTGTCAGGCCATGCTGTGGCAGCATCCCATATAAAGTAGAGGAAGATGGGCACAGATACTAGCCCAGGGCCAGTCTTCCTCAGCAAAAAAAGAGGGGGATTGGCACGGATGTTAGCTCAGGGCTGATCTTCCTCACAAAAAAAAATTACAAAAGTAATACTTATACATGGAAAAAATAACAAAAATTATACAATGAAAAAACATTCTTCCCATCCCAGATGTATAGAAACAACCATTTGAGTTTAATCATTTGATTTCAAAACAAATGGCATAAACCCTAATTTAGAGCATTTGAGTATCTTTGCCAAGCTTTTTCTATAATCCATGTATAAATACCCCTCTTTTTTCAGTCTATACACATTGTTCTGTGTGGTGTTGATGATAATTTCATTTAATGATTTATCTTGGAAGTCTTTCCACAACAATAGTTAACATTTGTTAACTATTTTCTATATCCCAAGCACTAAAAGACTAACTCTTTCTATTTTATTTAAACATCTCAACAACTTTGCAAAGTATGCTTTATTATTATTCTCCATTTTGGAGACTAAAATTTGAGGCAAAGAGAGAATAAGTAATTTGCCTATGGTCACACAGAGCTGGCACTTGAATCTCTATGGTCTGATGCCAAAGTACCACTCCTAACACGTTGAACACTTAATTGGCCCTTCTTCATTAACAGCACACACCATGTTCTTTTCACAGCTGCATAGTGTTCCATTATATGGATGTGCATACGTTTACTTAACCAGTCCACTATTGATGCACATGTAGGTTGTATCCAATTTTTGGCTATAACAAAAAAGCACCAGTTAACACCCTTAGCTGTTCACCTTTGCCTACCTGCACAAGTAAAATAAATTTCTAAAAATAAAATTATCAAATCAAAATTTAAATTTTTGAGTAGTAGCATGAGTTTCCCCTTCAAAGAGTAATGCCAATTTACAAACTCATCAAGAATATGTGTGTCTGTACTATTTAATTTTTATAACTATGTATATGATGTAAATCATACTATTAAAAAGTATCTGGAACTTAATAGCTGCCCAAATTTTGTTTGACAATTGGTAATGCACTTGACAACATCTTTTTCCATATTATATCAAGAGACAAATTAAACAAATCCTGTTGGGTAGAGAGCCAAAGAGCAAACAACGTTTTGCCAGTGATTAAGCATCAGTCACTGTATCCTAAGGGAGTCTATGCAGGGAATGCAGCCAAACTCAAATGCCTCTATAGCAGCCATGAAACCATATACAGAGAAGGAAATTGAAGCAATGATCTAATCCAGTGCCTTCATTTGAAAGCCTGAGAAAACTGAGACACAGATATAGACCCATCCCAAACATTCGTGGGGCCTAGAGCAAGAGGCCAAGTGGAGGCCCACGTGTCATATGTCCACGCATTTACATGTTAAAAGTCAGGTTAACAAGCTGTTAAAGGAAATGGATTCTATCTTCCTATCTTGACAAACATATCTTTTAGGTTCAAAAACAGGATTCTTGGACTTCCTAGAACACTGGTTTTCAAACTTTAGCATTCATCAGAATCACCTGGAGGATGTATTACAACAGACTGTTGGCCCCATCTCCAGATTCCCTGATACAGTAAGTCCGAGATGGGCCCCAATAAGTTGCCTTTCTAGCAAGATCCCAAGTGATGCTAATGTTGCTGGTCTGGGACCACACTTTGAAAACATTGCTCTAGAATAGAGACCAGGGTCCAGGTGAGCATAACTCCTTGGCTGACAGACTCCTTGACCCGTGGGGCCAGAGTGGTCCCTCTAAATCAGGGTTTCTCACCCTTGGCACTATTGACATTTTATACCAGATAATTATTTGCTATGTGGGGCTGTCCTGTGCATTATAGGATGTTTTGCATTATCCCTGTCTTCTACCCACTAGATGCTAGTAACGCCCCACCACTCCTGTATTGACAATCAAAAATGTCTACAGACATTTCCAAATACCCCCTAGGGACAAAGTCACCCCTGGTTGAGAACCACTGCTCTAAATCCTGGGGCCCATGGCAAGGCCCCTCTGCTCTGGGTCTAAGGCAGTACTGCACAGAGAAGCGAAAGGATTTCACTCAAATTTGCTTCTTGAATTGTGTGGCTCTAAGACACATATAAAAAATGTATAACTCCCCACACTCATGCACACTAAAATGAGAAGACAGAATTTAACCAGAATTCTGAAACATCTTGACATTCTGAAAGGAATTATGTATTTCAAGGCTTAGGGGAACAATCGGATCTCTAGACAATTTGGCCTATCCTTGTCCCACTCTCATCAAGTCACTTGGTGTTTAGTAATAAGGCATCGCATGCTTGTGTTATAATTATGTTGGGCTGCTGACTTAAAAAATAAAGGTCAGCACAAATTCCCAAAAGCCAAGGGCTTCTTTAGTTTTGACAGCAAGAGAGCAGTGTGGGAATTACCTAGACACATTACACATTTCAGCAGAAGGACAAGGCTTGTTCTATTGTATCTATTACTGGGGAAAAATAATTTGAGTATTCAACCTCAGTATTGACAATTAGTCTTAAATAACTTTTTTG